TAAGAGGTGCTTGTAGGTATATTATGTGTTACCGTTGGACAGAGGCAGGTGAGCTGTTCCTCTGGTTCCAGTCAAAAACATTGTCAGGCTGTCCTTTTTAAAGAACAAAAAACAAGAGTGTCATTGATTTTTCTCATTTCACCCTCTGCTAGAAAGTATTACTGATTGCTACAAAATCATTTGGGGAAGCACTCTCCAGCCACCACAGACAAGTTATTCCAGATAGCACTGATAAGATCAGATTTATCGTTGCACAGTGTTGCGTTGGCTAAATGACTGAGTGATGAGATGCAGGGAATAAGCAGATCATCTGATAAGTCTAGCTGATTCATAGCTCACAAGCATGTCACAAAGATACTGCGCTGCTAGACCATGTAGGGCAGGGGTGGGGAACCTCCGGCCTCCGGGCCGTATGCGGCCCGCGAGAAAATTTGGTACGGCCCTCGAGGTAATTTATAAACACACGCAAAAAAGAAAAAAATGGAAGAAATCTAGACCGTAAAAAAATTAAACAAGCGAGTGCCTGTTTTTCCTGGCCAAGGTCAGGGTCCTTGAACACAACACGAGCCTAACGTGTCATCACGTGGTATATGTCTCGACTGACAGGGGTGCAGTTCTGACAGAGAGCACCAGAACGCGGTTCCGGCACTTCAGAAATTGCAGTACCGATAAGGAGCCGTACACATGCCGCATTTTCTGCGTGGCTGTGTCTTTAGTTGAAAGCCCAGTGGTGATCTGTTCATCTGTCATACTGATCATACAGTCAATAACTTTGTTGTTATTAGCATCTGGTTAGCTAGCTATGCTAACGAATATAAGAAGCTTTTTCTACAACCAGTGAGGTAAAGGCACACCTTTATATGATCATTATAATCAGAAAAAAACAAGAGAATAAAGTAAACAGGTATAAAATACTATATGACGGTAAAAAAGTAGTTATTAATAAACAAGAACACAGTTTGAGAGGAGAGTGATTTGTAAAATATCCATAAAGAAAACATAAATCTGCTTACAGTTCTGTTTCATATGGATGTTGAGAGATGTATCCATAGATCTCCTTTTTGCTCTCAAAGTGCACCAGATTGATGCTTTTAACTAAATAAAAATCTTCCCGGGGGAGCATGCCCCCGGACCCCCCTAGAGGAGGTTAGGTCCCCCCCCCACTTAAATCATGTCCATATGGATAGGAAACTAAATACATTTGCACATATCT